TGTGTGTAAAGTTTTTTATAGGATCCTCTAATTCTTTTGATATTCAGAGCAGTGAAATTTGCTGGTTCTCATTCTAAATATTGGTAACTTGTGTATTCTCCCTCTCTTCTGTTGTTTGCCAAATTTAATAGAATTTTGTGACTTTTATAATCTTTTGAAGAATCAAGTTTTTTCTTTTCTGATTTTCTGTATTTTCAGCTTCACCAGTTTCTTCTCTTATTAATCTTACCTTCCTTCTGTTTACTTTGAGTTTCACTTTGTTATTTTCAACTTTGTATGTATTTTATATGGGAGCATAGATTATTCATTTGAGACTTTCTTGTTCTCTAATGTATTAAATTAGTTGTTGCAAATTTCCTTCTTAGCACTACTTTAGTTACATCACACAAATGTTGATATGCTCTACTTCATTTTTATTCAACTCCCTAAATTAAAAATTCATTTATGAATTGCTATTTAATGTATGGAATGTTTATAAACATGATGTTTCATTCCCTAGCCTTTAAAGATTTTGTGGCTTTCTGTTACTGATCTTTAGATTGATTTTCTTGTAGTTAGAGAAACATTAAATAATTTTAATTCTTTTAAATTTTCAAGATTTATTTTGAAGTCCAGGGTGTGACTTAATTTGGTACATGTTTCTCAAGCGCTTGAAAATAATGAATATTCTGTTGTTGCTGGGTAAAGTTCTCTGTAACTGCTCATTAGACTCCAGTGGTTGATGATGTTGTTATTCTATATCCTTGATGACTTTCTAGTTATTCTATAAATTTTGGGGAAAGTGCCAGTAAACTTTCTGACTATATTGTGTATTTGTCTATTTAGACTTTTAGTTCTGCTTTTTTTTTTCTCATTCTGCAGCTCTAATTTTTGCTAATAGTCAGGATTACCATATCTTCTTGGGAGCTATTCCCTTTTATCACTATATTACTCTGGTAATTTTCTTTGCACTGTCAATCTACTTTATCTGAGGTAAACATACATATACTGCTGTTGTTGAATAATGCTTGCATAAAAAAATCTTTTCATTCTTTCATTTTCAGCCTGCCTATATTATCTACACATAGTGTTTGCAGTAAAGTTCTAGCAGACAATATGTATCTGGATTCTGTTTTGTAACCCACCCTAACAACATATTTTAATTGGTGTAGTTAGGGCATTTACATTTAAAGTGATGTTTGATATGTTAGGGCTTAAGTACATTATCTAATCTTCTTTTCTGTTACTTATCTTTTTCCTTTCTCTGTTTCCTTTTCATTGCATTTCTATGGCTTTTAAAATGAGAACATTTTAATTTCTCTATAGTGTTTTTAAGTGTATCTTATTATATAACATGTCAGTGGTTCTTGTAGGATTTACATTTTACCTATATAACTTATCATAGTTACCTAGTGCTATTATTTTTCCAGTCCATGTGAGGTGTAGAAACCTCACCTCCCTTTACATCCTCTTAACTTTCCTAGTTTAATATAATTGCCTTATATATTTCATATGACTATATACATATATAGTCATATTTAAAATTACATCAGAAAGTATTTTTTTCTTTTACCATCAAACGTAATTCCGAAAAACTAAGGATTTACTCATGTTTGCTAATTTTGTTCTTTTTTCCTTCCTTATGCTCCAAGTCCCCTTTTTGTATTCTTTCCATTTAGAGAACTTCCTTTAGTCATTCATTTAGGATGTCTAGTAGTGGTAAACTATCTTAATTTTCATTTATCTAGTAATTTTTAAATATTTTTTTCAAATTTCTGAATAATATTTTTATGGATATAGGATTGCTTGAAAGGTTTCTTTTTTTCCCAATACTCAAAAAGTATTATGCTACTTCCTTCTTGCCTTCATGGTTTCTGATGAGAAATACACTGCCATTCACATTCTCTGCTATAGGTAAGGACTTGCTTATCTGTTGTTGCTTTCAAGATTTTTCTTTTGTCTTTAATTTTCACAAGTTTGAATATGATGTGTCTTGATGTGAAGTTATTTGGATTAGTACTGTTCAGAAATCACTCAACGTTTTCAATCTGTAGGTTGTTGTCATTTGCCAAGTGGGGAAAGTTTTCAACTAATATTCTTTGAGTGTTTTTTAAGGGTGCTTATTTCTCTTTTTCTAGCACTCAGATGACACACATATGTTACACATTTTTTATGGCCCCACAGTCAATGAGGCTCTGTTTTGGCTTCATTTTTGTTTATCGAGTTTACAATCTTTGTGTTGTTCAGATCGGGCATTTTCTATTTGTCAGTCATCCAGGTCACTGATTCTTTTCCTCTATTCTCTCTATTCTGCTGTTGAGCCCATACATTGAGTTTTTTATGTGGTTATTTCATTTTTCAGTATTCTGTTTCATGTGTGTTTGTAACTGCTCATTTTATTATGTTACATGATGACTTTTCTAAAATCTTTGTCCTGTAATTCTAATATCTCTGACATCTATGTGTTGGTACTTACTGGCTGTTATTTCTTTTTTAGTTTAAGAAACCTGTTTCTTAGTATGAAGAGTGATTTTAATTTTATGAAATACTGGATATCATTTAAATTTTCTGCTTTATGTGGCTTCATCTGATGCAATTCCAGTAGGAGAATGAGGGTGGAAATGCACTATCTCTTTATTGCCTGGTAATTATAGAGATTCAGCCTTCTAATTTGGCACAGTTGAATGTTCTGACTCCTCATATGGGCCTCACTGCCACCATGGAAGAAGGAGGACTATAAATACAACATGATATTGTTAATAAAGTAGTGAATTCCAGTCATGTGCCATACTAAGGTGTCATCTTTCAAATTCTCAACAATTTCAAAGAAATACTAAAAAGATAAAATACAATTAACAGATAGAGTAAAGCCCTCAATAGGAGCAGATGAACTCTAGAGGAGGCCACAGTTATGGGAGTAATATAACAAGATGAGATAACTGTAGCAATGGGAATTAAGAGTCTTAGATTTTAGTCCTGATTCTACTTACTTCTTAGTTTTGTAACTTTGGGAAACTCACTTCGACATCTCTGGTCTTGGTTTTTTAAAATAGGAGGAGAGTTGTATAAGATAGGCTATAACTTATTTCTCATTTTAGCACTCCATGATAAACTATTTAAAATGATAATTACGTGAGATGGCATATCAAAAATTCTACATACATATAACATCAGTTTTGTTAAATATAGTCATCATTATAATTAGCACTAATAAAAGTTCATAGTGAAGATAATGCAGGTATAATAAAACTCTGAGGAAATAAGTCCCTTTTCAGCTCATAAAGTTGATATTAACTTATAGTTGGAGAGAATCTGGCAACTTTTGAGTCAAGACTTCCTCTACCTGCAGCAGAATCACTTGGTATACTTGATAAATGTAGATTTCCTGAGTTCCAGCCCCAATTGATAAGAACTTTTAAAAGGCACCCCTTATGATTTTTATGCACATTAATTATTGTGAATCTGTGCTTAGGCTTCAAGAAATTATTTTCAATCTTTAAGAGAAAATAGAGCTGATATGCTATATCCAAAGAGAACAATAAGCCAAAGAAATTAAAATTCTGATAATCAATTACAGGCAGCTATGAGGAGGAAGAAAGAGGGTCTATGCTTTTAATCTGGCAAGCTTATATTTTAAATATTCATTTAGCAAATTTGGATAGGGGTCAAAGAACATAAAACAAGTGGCACAAATCTCTAAGAAGGCTAATATTTATAATGAACTCTGACTCTGAAACATTTCAAAGGACCTCAAGGAAATGTATTTCTATGGGTAAAGCAGGAAAGAAGAATAACTGAGTTTACTGCTTGGTGTAGGTGGTAAAAGATTATTATAAGTTATGTATAGAAGATATTCAACAAATATCAACTTTAATCTTCTCAATCATAGAGAAAAGAATCTACAAGCCATCATGGTTAAAATCACTTGAAATATGTAAATATTATTTATTAATTCAACAGAAGTTCATATAAAATAAAATTCAAAACCAATTTGAACTATATAAAATGTCTAATTGTGCACAACATATTGTCATATACTGGTAAGTATCTTTTTCTGATGAAATGTTCCATAATGTTCACCAAATTCACAAAGGGTATTTTATGATGTCTAGTAGTTTAGCACAGTAGCTTTCCTTTCTAGAGAACTACATTTTAAAAAATAAAAATAATAACTTGCTCTATTTTTGGTAAGTTTTCAACATGATCGTTTTCTTAAGGAATGTTTCATTGAGCACTTGTATGTAGGAGTCACATGAACAATAAAAAGGTATTTTATCTTAAGATGCTCAATATTAAAACTAGGTAAATAAATGACATAAGAGTGATAACAATATTAGCTATCTGCTATTTTTGACAGCAGAAAAATTAGCAAATAGATAATTGTTTTATTTCCTATCTAAACCAATAACATTGTTGAGGTTACATAGTTTTTCTTCATTGCAGCCATCAATGGGTTTTCCTTAAGATTACAGATGATTAAAGAACTGCTGCCATAGAGTTTTATACACACAATTCCATTAACTTTCATTATATTAAGATTTTTTATAATGAACATAAGAAACTAAATTTTCAATGTACTGGAAATCTTTTTAAGGAGCCATATAGACTGTATTTCCTAGATTAAGAATATTTATTTTTATAAAATCCATCAGATTCTGCAGGTGTAGGGGAAACACACTTTTGCTCACCATTATTCTTTGTATTATGTGCATAATACTAATTCATATTTGAGATTAAAATTATAAAATAGATTAAATTATTATAAAATAGAATAAATGCATAACAGAAGCTGGCATGACAGTCTAATAAAAGAAATGTACATGTAAGTTTATGCTCATGAACATGAGAACTTAATTAAGGATGAAATCCTGAAGCATATTCTCATGATGAAATAAATCTATTAGTACAGCTAAGTATTTGCAGACCTTATTCATTTTCAAATACTTTACTAATTCCAAAAATAAGACAATTGCACCCTTGTAAAGCAGAACAGACCATCCTTAAACATCTGGCATACTTACACACTTTTCACTGTCAAATACATAGCACAAATGTTTATTTGACTCAGAATCTTTGCATATGAAAGTGAATATCCTCTTATCAGTTTTATCGTCTGCACAAAAAGATATTCTATGAAGCTGGCAATTGTGTTGAACTTCCTGTGAACACAGATGGAAATAAACATAGCTGATGAGATTCTTTTTTTTCCATTTTCTGAAATACTCATTTGTGTTAATAACAAATGACTTTAGAAGTAGAACAATTATCTGTCAATCTTTAATTTTATAATTATGTACAGCCCAAACTAAAACAAAGGCATAATGGATACAGATAGACCTCCTACTTCAGGATTAAACTAAGATATGCATTTCAATACTGCTTAGAAAAATAAAACATAGTACAAGTTGATCAAAGGTTCATGGCCTATCTGAGCTACAATGGCTCCTGAGAAATCATATACCTAAACTTTGCCTGTTAACAGAAGAGAACAATGAGTCCCAGAAAGAACAAGATACCTCCACAGTTTTACAGAATTACCAGAACTCTTTTAAACCAGAGCAATTCTCACTTTTATCTCACTGCTATTTACTAGCATTATAATTTAGAACACAGCTTTATCTGCATACAATTTCATGTGAAACACACTATCTTTCATCCTTAATAATCTTATTAAATTTTGTTTTATATAATTTTATGATTACTCATACATTCTTGAACCTCTTATGTCTAGGAAGCTTATCCTTAGAATTTCTGTGGTATTTTTCATGAAGCAGTACATGAATCGTATACACATCCAGTCTCCAAATCACTGAGTCAAATCTTCTCATCAGAAGACAAATACTGCAACCAGACAGATACAGTTGCAGCATATATTTACACACCCACACATAGACAGACACCCACATTAAATTATATAACTTACAAAATAACAGGTGTATACATCATTAAAATAAAAATATTTATATAAAATAAATGTGTTTCTAAAATTACTATTATTTAGTCAAAAGATGGAGCATTTGACAATCTTTATATTCATTTAGATCATAAATATTAATTATTCATTCTTCACAATCTTCTGAAACATGTTGGAGGTAGAAAAGAAATTCAATGTTTTTGATTATGACAAGTAGAAAAATCAATGATTCCCTTTTATATTGCAGTCATAAACATATTTTCCTAAGACATATTATAACACTGTATCATTCAGAAACTCAGTTCACCAACATAATATTGAGTGGGTGTTTTGAAAGATTGGAAATGGAAGCAACTATAGCTTCATCCAAGGAAGGCTGGCTGAATATCCCCCAGAAACCTTTATTTCAGGTTATAACTAGAAGTTTCTCAAAGGTGGCTTCAGACAACTTGTAGCACAAATGCCTGGGGGGCTTTCTATAAAAATTTTCACTGTTTTTTTTTTATCTCAGTTGAATCAAAATCTCAAAGTTTTTGATCAAGATAAGAATCACTGGTATCATGAAGACACTTAACCTTCTCAGTTCAGAGTGTGATGTGTCAGCTTGCTGAGATTTGTTCTATTACCTTGATTTACATAACTGCTCAGCAGACCGAAAATAAATACATGAAATACAATATACAAAAAATATGATAAGAAAACTGTCTATAGCAATGCATTATTTCCCTGTATACAAACTAAATGGTAAGCCATAACATAGTTGCTTGGTAGTTTTGAAAATTAAAATGAGGCAGTATATTGTGTGATTGTAATGCTTGTTATTATTACTAGATAGCCTAATTCAACTGTTTAAAAGCAGGGGAACCAATTCTAAGAAGAGGTGCTTGATTTACTTAGCTTTTGATGGGGGCATCTTTCCTTTCTTATGTGGAGAGCATCAAAGGACAATCACCATATTTGTTTGAGACTATCTTCTTTCTATATTTTGCCTATTAGAACAGCTTCCTTTCTTGCTGACCTTTTTTTAAAAAATGACAATAGAGTCAATTAAATAACAGCCCTCTGCTACACTATACCTCTGAAATACTGATAGGAGGTCTACACCAGCTTATTAATTGTAAAACCATGTTTATGATAAAGAGAAAATATTATTACTATACACTATAGGAAAAATTCATTTTTCCACAGATCGGAGAAATTATGAGTAACATGCAAAACACAACATTCACTTAGCTGGTACTGAAATCTACATAGTCTCTCATTTACTTATCCAACCAGAATAATCAAAGATAGTGTTTGGTTACGATCAGTGATGAATCATCCAAAGCTTTGTTTGGATTAGCAAAGGTATCTTCCTAAAACAGTCTTGGGAGCTGAAACCTGTAATTTTATTATTTTTATCAGTCTTTTTATTATTATTGTGACAAATCATTATGAATTTGAAATGTAGCAATACTTTTTGGTGAAGATAAAGAGACCCAGGAACATAATAATCATAATAAAAAACACATAGGCTTTAATATTAATGATATTTTATTGGAGTTGGAACAAAAATATCAGTAGATTATTTTATCCCCAATTGATCTATCTACACCACCTGTTTCTAGCACACTATAATCTTCATTTGGAGAACAAGTGAGAAAAGCAGAAAGGGAAAGGACACAGAAAGAAAGATACAGGAGCCAATTGTTATTGAGATTGCATTTATTTCATTTTCATTTTTCACTTTCAATCATCCAAGTAAAAAAGAAAAATAAAGATTCTATTCTGTATAAAGACAGTCTATGTTAGTTAATAATACATTTAAAAATCCTGTCTTAGACATGTATGTTTAACTATAAATAAATTTATTTTAGAAGTATCACATTTAATTGTTTTTTTCTAAATATCAACATATATCTAAAATGAAATATGGATTTGTTTCTGTTTCACTTATGTATGTGTCCTTGAAGAGTAGCTCCTAAATGCATGTCTGTGAATGTCTATGACTAGGTTGTATCCAAGAACTGAGGACTGTCTCTTTTTCTCTCTTTATCACTAAACACAGACACACACACACACACACACACACACACACACACACAGAGAGAGAGAGAGAGAGAGAGAGAGAGAGAGATTGTCATTCTTAGAAATGTCTTGGGGACACTGGTGCTCAGCAGAGCTTATAAATCCCTTTTTTAGATTTCCTACATTTTTAATGCATTCAAGAAATGGTACTTTATATATATGGGTACATAGTCATATACTCTATATTATATGTAACATAAGGTAAATAGTTTTTCTATAGTAATATACAATATAATTGAATATATAAAACATCTCAAGGATTTAAAACTCCAAGATTACTCTCCAGGTTTGGTAGGAATTAAAATACAGATGCTTCTTTTCCATTAAGAATTTTAAAAACTCACTTCTGGGAAGAGAATTCAAGCTCTTAAAAATTAGCTATTAGTGCTAAATGCATACCTCAGAAATTTAGAAAGATCATCAGTTAATCAATCTAATATCACACCTAGAGGAATTAGAAGAACAAAAATCAATTAACTCCAAAGCTAGCAGAATAAATAACTAAAATCTGAGTGGAACTGAACGAAACCGAGATTAAAAAAATAATCCATAAAAACAATAAACAAACCCAAAAGTTGGTTATTTGAAAAGATCGACAAGATCACTAGACCACTAGCTACATAAAAACAAAGACAAAAAGGGAGAAGAGCTAAATAAGTACAATGAGAAACAACAAAGGGGCCATGCATGGTGGCTCATGTCTGTAATCCCAACACTTTGGGAGGCTGAGGCAGGCAGTTCAGCCAAGGTCAGGAGTTCAAGACCAGCCTAGCAAACATGATAAAACCCTGCCTCTACTAAAAATAACAAAAATTAGCTGAGCATGATGGTGTGTGCCTGTAATCCTATCTACTCAAGAGGCTGAGGCAGGAGAATCGCTTGAACTTGGGAGGAAGAAGCTGCGGTGAGCCGAGATCTTGCCATTGCACTCCAGCCTGGGCACTGTAGTGAGACTCTATCTCAAAACAAAACATAACAACAACAACAACAAAGGTGATGTTACAGCTGATCCCACAGAAATACAAAAAAATCCTCAGAGACGATTACAAACACTTTGAAGCTCACAAACTAGAAAATCTAGAGGAAATTGATAAATTCCTAGAAACACATAACCTTCCAACATTTAATCAGCAAGAAATTGAAATCCTGAACAGAACAATATCAAATTCTGAAATCGAATCAGTAGTAACAAATTTACCAACCAAACCAAGCCCCAGAGCAGATGGACTCAGAGCCAAATTCTACTAGACCAGCAAAGAAGAGTTGGTACCAATTCTACTGAAACTATTCCCAAAAAACTGAGGCAGAGGAACTTCTCTCTAACTCATTCAATGAAACCAGCATAATTCTGATACCAAAAACATGGGAAAGACACAGTGAAAAAAGAAAACTATAGGCCAACGTACATAGATGCAAAAATTCTCAGCAGTATACTTGCAAGCTGAATTCCACAATACATTTAAAAATTAATTAACCACAATCAAGAAGCCTTCATTCCTGGAATGCGAGGTTGGTTCAACATATGCAAATCAATAAATACAATTCAGCATAAAAACAGAATTAAGAACAAAAACCATATGATCATATCAACAGAAGTGGATAAAGCCTTCAAAAAAAAAAATCAGCATTCCTTCATGATAAAATCCCTGTACAAACTAGCCATTAAAGGAACATACTTAAAAATAGTAACAATCACCTATGACAAACACACAGCCAACATCACACTGAACCAGCAAAAGCTGGAACATTCCCCTTGAAAACTGAAACCAGACAAGGATGCTCATTCTCACCACTCCTATTCCACATAGTACTCAAAGTCCTAGCCAGAGAAATTAGGCAATAAGAAAAAAGAGAAGACTTCAAAATAGTAAAATAAGAAGTCAAGTCATTTCTCCTAACTGATCATATGACTTTATATCTAGAAGATCCTAAAGATTCCACCAAGAGGCTCCTGCAACTGATAGTAAACTGCAGTAAAATTTCAAGATATAAAATCAATATACAAAAATCAGTAGCATTTCTGTATACCAATAACATTAAAGCTTAAGAGACAAATCAAGACTGCAACCTCATTTACAATAGTCAACAAAAAAATAAAATACCTAGCAATACATCTAACCAAGGAAGTGAAAGATTTCTACAAGAAGAACTGCAAAACACTGCCGAAAAAAATCAAAG